CTTTTGTAAAATGCTCCGAGCAAAGTCTAGTACTGCTTGTGGGAACAAAAGAAGTTCCTACATTCATTTTTTGCAGCCAGACAGAAGCTCTGCATCTTTCAAAGGAAATCTAGAATACGACAAATTAATTAATATGTGTAGTAACGCTCCTATACAAATGTCTAAAAACATGTTTTACTCAGTTCGTTTCTTTTCTTTTAAACAAGGAAACTTGTACATAACCTCACTGGTATTACTTACTTATGCAGAGTTCTGCCTTCTATTCCGCCTTTCTTACCGCAATATTTACATATTAGCACCATTGTATCTCTAATAGTAAATAATTTATGCTCGAAATATTAACAAAGCACTATCCGATCGAAATTATAGAGCCAGAATAAATCACAGGTCACACACGTCGTTCAGAGTCGATCACCGGAATCGCCATATTGGATTTGAAAACTGACTACAAGCAACATGGCAGACACCTACTCAAAAGGGGTCAACCGAGCGAGCCTATGCGCTATCCAGTGTTATATAGAGATCAGTGGAATTAAACATGTACTCAATGCGGTAGCGACACCTCGTGCTAACGGTCAATGTGAACGTATGAATGGTATAGTTTTGAGTTCGCTTACACCTACTTGTGGTGGAGATGATGAAAATCTTTGGGACCAGAAAGTGAAGAAGGTTCAAAGTGCTGTGAACAGCACAACCAATAGAACCACTAGGATGTCTCCAAATCAATTGCTCTTTGGGTACAAACCTCGAAGTATGGCTGATGCTAGGTTACTTGCAAATATCCAAGATACTTTGGATCAAGTAGACCTGCGGGAGATGAGAAAGGCTGCAAAGGCATCAATAGATGCTAAGCAAATCGAGCAGAAGAAGCGGTTTGATGTTCGCAGGTTCAAACCATCTCAGTGTGCAGTTGATGTTGTGATGGTGGCGGCTGAGCCTGTTGCAACTGGCGAAAGTCGGAAATTAGCACCAAAGGCTAAGGGACCCTTTAGAGTCACCGCAGTACTACCCAATGACAGATACGAAGTACAGGATCTGCGGGACTTGAAAAAGTCACACCATCAGCGTCAGGTGGTGGCGGTGGACAGTATGCGGCGATGGGTCACATTTGATGCTACCAAATGAGTGGTAGGTAGCCGTAATTGCACTGTGGGGCAATAGGCTATATTGGCTCAGTGTTGAGCAAGTTTGAATTGCCGTAGTCTGTGGCCTTGAGATGCAACTAGGGTCAAGGTTGTGATCTATGATGGGTGGCAGGCGAGGCTGGACCATGGTCAAGTTTGAATTGCCGTAGTCTGTGGCCTTGAGATGCAACTAGGGTCAAGGTTGTGATCTATGATGGGTGGCAGGCGAGGCTGGACCATGGTCAAGTTTGAATTGCCGTAGTCTGTGGCCTTGAGATGCAACTAGGGTCAAGGTTGTGATCTATGATGGGTGGCAGGCGAGGCTGGACCATGGTCAAGTTTGAATTGCCGTAGTCTGTGGCCTTGAGATGCAACTAGGGTCAAGGTTGTGATCTATGATGGGTGGCAGGCGAGGCTGGACCATGGTCAAGTTTGAATTGCCGTAGTCTGTGGCCTTGAGATGCAACTAGGGTCAAGGTTGTGATCTATGATGGGTGGCAGGCGAGGCTGGACCATGGTCAAGTTTGAATTGCCGTAGTCTGTGGCCTTGAGATGCAACTAGGGTCAAGGTTGTGATCTATGATGGGTGGCAGGCGAGGCTGGACCATGGTCAAGTTTGAATTGCCGTAGTCTGTGGCCTTGAGATGCAACTAGGGTCAAGGTTGTGATCTATGATGGGTGGCAGGCGAGGCTGGACCATGGTCAAGTTTGAATTGCCGTAGTCTGTGGCCTTGAGATGCAACTAGGGTCAAGGTTGTGATCTATGATGGGTGGCAGGCGAGGCTGGACCATGGTCAAGTTTGAATTGCCGTAGTCTGTGGCCTTGAGATGCAACTAGGGTCAAGGTTGTGATCTATGATGGGTGGCAGGCGAGGCTGGACCATGGTCAAGTTTGAATTGCCGTAGTCTGTGGCCTTGAGATGCAACTAGGGTCAAGGTTGTGATCTATGATGGGTGGCAGGCGAGGCTGGACCATGGTCAAGTTTGAATTGCCGTAGTCTGTGGCCTTGAGATGCAACTAGGGTCAAGGTTGTGATCTATGATGGGTGGCAGGCGAGGCTGGACCATGGTCAAGTTTGAATTGCCGTAGTCTGTGGCCTTGAGATGCAACTAGGGTCAAGGTTGTGATCTATGATGGGTGGCAGGCGAGGCTGGACCATGGTCAAGTTTGAATTGCCGTAGTCTGTGGCCTTGAGATGCAACTAGGGTCAAGGTTGTGATCTATGATGGGTGGCAGGCGAGGCTGGACCATGGTCAAGTTTGAATTGCCGTAGTCTGTGGCCTTGAGATGCAACTAGGGTCAAGGTTGTGATCTATGATGGGTGGCAGGCGAGGCTGGACCATGGTCAAGTTTGAATTGCCGTAGTCTGTGGCCTTGAGATGCAACTAGGGTCAAGGTTGTGATCTATGATGGGTGGCAGGCGAGGCTGGACCATGGTCAAGTTTGAATTGCCGTAGTCTGTGGCCTTGAGATGCAACTAGGGTCAAGGTTGTGATCTATGATGGGTGGCAGGCGAGGCTGGACCATGGTCAAGTTTGAATTGCCGTAGTCTGTGGCCTTGAGATGCAACTAGGGTCAAGGTTGTGATCTATGATGGGTGGCAGGCGAGGCTGGACCATGGTCAAGTTTGAATTGCCGTAGTCTGTGGCCTTGAGATGCAACTAGGGTCAAGGTTGTGATCTATGATGGGTGGCAGGCGAGGCTGGACCATGGTCAAGTTTGAATTGCCGTAGTCTGTGGCCTTGAGATGCAACTAGGGTCAAGGTTGTGATCTATGATGGGTGGCAGGCGAGGCTGGACCATGGTCAAGTTTGAATTGCCGTAGTCTGTGGCCTTGAGATGCAACTAGGGTCAAGGTTGTGATCTATGATGGGTGGCAGGCGAGGCTGGACCATGGTCAAGTTTGAATTGCCGTAGTCTGTGGCCTTGAGATGCAACTAGGGTCAAGGTTGTGATCTATGATGGGTGGCAGGCGAGGCTGGACCATGGTCAAGTTTGAATTGCCGTAGTCTGTGGCCTTGAGATGCAACTAGGGTCAAGGTTGTGATCTATGATGGGTGGCAGGCGAGGCTGGACCATGGTCAAGTTTGAATTGCCGTAGTCTGTGGCCTTGAGATGCAACTAGGGTCAAGGTTGTGATCTATGATGGGTGGCAGGCGAGGCTGGACC